ATTTGGTGTTATAAACCGTCAAATAGGAAACACGTCAAATAGCTTGCTGTTCGCGCTCGAGGCCGACGTCGACGAGTGCGGACCCCGTGCGGAGCCACACGTCACCTTGCTAGCAGTACGCTCATGGCGCCCGCTCCTCACGTGTTGACATCCTCAAGCACGCACGGCCTGCAGCGTTGGCCACCATCCGTCCAACGCGCGATCGGTGTCGGCAGACGTGCGACGGATTACGGCGATGCTGTTAACTACCGCTGCTGCTGTGTTTGGTAGAACAGCGAGGAACCACGTGTGTTGCAACAGTTCGACGGTGATCCGCTCCCTGGATAAATCCGTCAGTGATGTTGCTAAAGCGCCGAGAAAATGAACGCGGCATGCACGGCATTACGGCGGTGCTGCTAATTACCGCTGCTATTGTGTTTGATGGAACAGCGGGTAACCATGCGCATTGCAACAGTTCGGCGGTGGTCCACCCCCTGGATAGCTCCGTCAATGATATTGCTATTGAGCAAAGAAAGCGAACACAGCATGCATAACATGCATTATATGGGTTTCCGTTTTTTGCGGGGACACAAAGCGGTCGCCACATTGACGCTTCGTTGGCTGGTTTCCAGACGAGACTGCTGACTTCCACAGCTACTTCGCGGCGGCATCAGATCTCGGTGAGCTGCGAGCGTTGGCTTCTAATGCATAATCCCCCGCATGGTGCCCAACTAACTGCCGTTGCAAACAGCTGCTGCAGATGTCCACATGGGTCAGACGCTGTTGGGATGTTAACGAGTAGATGCAGACACATCGAACTCACGTGCATGTCCAGCTGGAGAGGTAATGCCCTATGACCGCACTGCAGCCACATAAAGGTCACGCCGTCGCGTGGGCCAGAGGATCGCATGCGTTGTTTTTGTAAGGATTGGGTAGTCCGGTTCTTCACAGCGGTGTCTGTTATCGGGTGCGACTTTATTACTGTCTATTCCAGACGTCAGATTTTCTGATGATATATCTTAATCAGTCAAGTGATGGAATTTAGTGACTTCACTTTGGTCGTAACGAGTTCGCTTTTTCATTGTTATGACCAAAGTATAGCACGTGCTCGTTCCGACTGCGCTTGCGCCGGCCGACGGGCCGCGTGGAGCGCCGTGTGAGCTAGTTTCATCAATCCTGAACGCTCCGCCTGCCTCATTGCGCAACTGGCTCGCTGCGCGGTTAGTTGGTGGTTACCCCTGTTCCACGTAAACCACTTCACTCCGTCGTCTGATTTCTTTGTAACATTGGCAGTCATCCGCGGGAATAGTCGTATGCTGCGTCATCCGACGTCGCACATCATTATCGTCCTCCTTCCGCCGTCTTCCGTTTCCAGTAACTTCTCGCCAGTATCAATCTCACATTCCCACCGCTGTCGTATCAAGCTGACATTTTTCCGACGCCCCCGCCCCCACCCCCATCGGCACAGACAACGACCCGACAGACGGATGCGCCGGCGTCTCCTGTCCGGTGGACAACATCATCTCCCGCATGATCGACATCAAGCGCAGCCAGCTGATGCGGGCGGCGCGGCTGCGGTGGCGGCGCGCCGCCGGCGTGCCGGCCAGCTCGGACGAGGAGACGGCCGCCGACGGCTTTCACAGCCGCCACCGCCGCGTTCTGCACAAGGCCAGGTGCGCGCCGCGCCCGCCGGCACGGGGGAGGGACTGGTGGGGGCTGCTTTGCGTTGGGTGGGGGGGGGGAGGGGGGAGAGGGCGGATGCTGCCAGTGTTGGTTGGATTTGGATCGGGCTGTGCTGAGTGCTGGTGCTGAGATGGGCTATCGTGTGGTGTGCGGACGGTAGTCACTTGTGCGCCAGCGCAGGCACAAGCACAGGGGTGGGTCTGTCGCGCACAGCTGGTCGGAGTGGGTGGACACCGGTGTGAGCCTTGGCGAAATATTTGTCTCAATACACTAATGCTTTGCTTTCATAAATTTACACCCCATGATGTATTTCAAACGTTTTGCTTGGTACCACTGTGAGCTGAAGTGCTTTGCCACCGGCCGTCGTCGAAGCATACACTTTCTCAACAAGCTCGGGGCGCTCTTCGCGACGACGCTTAGGGCGCTTCCCTGATGACTGAGATGCGGGTCATGCGCCCGACGTGGCGTGCCCACCGTGCCCACCTGGTCCGCACCTGGGGACGCTCTCACGCGCCGCCGCTGCCGTCAGGTACGTCTGGCTGCCGTTGGGTGGCGCCGAGGTGTCGTCGCGTTACACGGCGCGCGCGCCGCCGGCCGCCGCCTCCTCGGACGACTCAGACGGAGCGCCGGCGGCGCCGCGGACGTCGGCCGGGCCGGCTGGCCTCAGCCACGCCACCCGGCGACCGGCCGTCCGGCAGCGGTCTGCAGAGCTCGGCCTCCTCTTCGGGCGGGCCGCGGCCGCTGCCGCCCTCGTCGCCCTCCTCGTCCGGCTCCAGCACGGCCGAGGACGCGCCGGCGCGCCGCCGCCGCGTGCGCCAGAAGCTGCGCCGGCTGCGCGCGCCGCCGCATGAGGAGCGCTCGCCACCGCCGGCGCCTGAGGAGGAGGCCGCCGGCGCCCCCCTCACCAACGGCAACACCAAGGACAACTTCAGCCGGCTGAACCGGCGCGACTTCAGGCGCCGAAACTACCGACGTCGCCACTGAACGGATGCGGCGTCAGAGCCAGGACCGGCGGCGAATTGTGTCAGTTGCGACGTGATCATCGATGTCTGTTGTGCGTGGAGAAGTGAGAGATAGTATTGATGATATTGTTGTCAGCGAGGTCGTCACATGGCGCACGTGACGGCAGCACGTGGAAGATCGCTGATGTGGGTGGTTACCAATGATGCCATGCTGTCGCGAATGACGCCGGCGTATCAGTACTAGTGTCGTAAGTTGTAACCGGCGATGACGGGTGGCGTCAGCGTTGATGCCAGGTGCCAACGCCAGTGCGACAATAGACGTGAATCGTAAAGTCAGCGGACGCCAGAGCATTGCCAATTTCGGTTTGGAGGCCGTCAGTACATACGCCGTTGCTGAGGAAACATGGCTAGTGATGCCAGGAGACGGAGGTACTGGTGACGTCACCAGTGACGCCAGGCTGTGCTATTTGTGAAGTTTTGTTTATGTTGAAAGCTGTGTGTCATTATATTTTGTAGATAGAAATAAAAGCAGGGATTGTCACATTGTAATGTCATCTCATTTTCCTTCTCTGCAAGATATATCCTGACTTAGCGTTGCAAGTGTGCTTCCGACCACCACCCCGGTGATAAATGGTGTTCAAAGAGGAGCATTTTTCGGAAACATGTGCTTCTTCGGTGTCATCCGCAGTATGTAGCCATTGCCCACTTTGCCGGGTAATAAATCGATGTGGCCACCCTAAAATTGCGGGTTTTATTTCGTCCTCCGTGTAGGCATTGACGAGTTCATAGCCTGTTGGTCTATTTCGGGTTTTGATTCAAACGGCGCTTAGCGAGGACAGCTTCGCATGCCTGTGACGTCATAGGGGAAAATGGGTGTCTGCGTCTGCGTCTTTTTCGCGCGCACCCTCGTACGCGTGCGCCGAGAACCCGGGGCTGTGTGGAGGGGAAGACCGGCCGTGAAGGTGGGTGGTCGTGATTAATATTTCTCCGCATGACCGTTTTCTTAGCCGGAGGTGCCTGTGGTTGATAAAACGGAGGCATCGCTGGAACACCGGCTTTGACACTATGGCAGTTGGCCGGGTCATACCCCTTGCGTCATGAATCTCACTTCTGCGCTGTGAAGAGCTCTGAAGTTTGTTGTTAATGGAACTCGTCCGTTGAGCTTATCATTAGGAATGTAAACTAGGCGTGTGAAGATTTGTGTGTGGGAGGGGCATGCAAAAGATAGTGCATTGGTTAACATGTGACCATTAGGGATTCAGGCATCTTAATAACCTTAACACCTGACACTGATGGAACTGTATGATACTTGCAAAATGTTTTGTTTTTTAGGGAATAACACTAATCCCTAGCCCTGAATCTGGATGATGCAGTTAACATCTCATGCTGAACAGCATGCCATGGTTATTATTAGGAAAGTGGGGATCATCCTTGTGTGCCTGATTTGTTGTTGCGAGATTGTTGAATAAGTTTGATACAGCACTAAAACAGGTAGTATTTTTGGTACGAAAGTAACGTCAGCTTGAATCGGAGTGGAGGGCTGCTCCCTATTGCAAGGCTTCAGTCTTAAGTCTTATGCATCTGAAAAAGTGAGTAATTAAATCAATATTGGTTACATAATCAGTGACATCCCAGGAGGCATTGTGTTCAAAGTTCAATTTGCATCCTGCCATACTCATACTGTCCATGGCTAATACTGATGTGCTGGAAAAGATATAATCACTTATATTTCTGAAATTTTATGGGTGTTGTATGTAGTTAGTGGTAAACCAGAAATACACTTATTTCATAAATAATGCACCTTTGTGTTTGTGGTTTTTGGATGCTTGCCCAGAACTCCCACATGTTTTATTGGATATTTGCACTGAACTCTCATTGGATGAATTTCTGGGATTAAGTTTATCAAGAATGAATGAATGAAGCTGCCCCAAGCATGGTTTTGAAGTCCTTGCCACAGTTTGCATACTGGCCCACAGCCACCTGGCACATTTTGTGCTTGCAAGTTGGCTGGGGATAGTCTGGATTATAGTCAGAGATCTCTGGTCTACTCCATGTCTCTTTTGGAAATGGTGTGTGCTTGCAATTGCATGGGCATGGTGGGACATGGATGTACAATCCTTGAATGTAAAGTAAACCTATCTGGGACTTGCAGAAGTATGATGCTCATTCAGGCCACAGCAGCACAGCTCAAGTAAAAGAGCAAAATCAGAACTTTGTAGTGCCTGGCATTTGCCGAGTTTGAAAAGGTGCCTTTTAGAACTGCAAGGTGCTGGGCTGATTAAAATGCAAGGAATGTCACAACGTCCATCCTTAAAGTATTGTGTGGGCAATGCTCCAGTATTCCAGCAGCAAACCTCCCACTTCTGCGTCACTTGGAGCAGATGCCTAGTGTTTTCTAGGGTCACCTGGTGATCAGGGGGAGGGGAGGGGGTAGGCGGACTTCGTGACCGCTGACTGGGCGGCCGGTCGGGCCTGCTTCCAGTGGTCACTTGTCATTTGCAAACTCGGAGTCATTTCCTGTGTTCCACATTCTGGGATTCCATGTCCATGTGGGCAGTGTTGTCATGTTATGTCAACATCTCATCTACCTATGTCCCCCGGTTCCTGTCACCCTGGCTGTCTCAGATGTGGCTGCCTTCTTCCCATGGGTTATGTTTGGCAACCACCAGACATGAGATAAGCTCACTTGTAACTATTGGTATAACTATTAACTATTGCAAGGCTTTGAAGTGCAGTACTGCTGTAGACAACACAATTTCACTACTTAGTAAATATTCTCCTCAATATGTTATCGTTTGATTGTGTCGTGGAAAGTCTGTATGATGGAAGAGTCACATGCCACACTGGCTGTGCGAAAATGCCACCATAGCAGACTGGCTAACTCGCAAGCAGCACTTCAACTTATTAAGTGATGTGTGCTAATTGGTGCGTGTTTGCAGAACCCAAACATCATTATGTTTAAGTGTTTTGGCTCTTCCTCGTAGTTTTCTTCATGTGTCCGTGGTTTTAGATTTTGTTTGATTGCATTCACTTAGCTCAGTACAGTTTTATTTATTAAGTTATTTAAATTCCGGTTTCCTTTCCGTCATAAGTACTTCCAATGCCCAGATCCCTAGTGCTGTGTAGCACAGAACGTAATTTGTGTTCCAAACTTTTTCACGGTTCACGATTTCTGGCATCAAGGATTTCCAGTTGGCTCTCAACCGGTGAAATGCGTTCAGTACGTCAGACACGAACAATTTGACAAAGCTTTATGTCTCGACATAGAGCACTACATTCCCAATGAGGAGGCAACATTCCAGAAGCTGCTTGTATGTGTGACCTTGAAATAGCGTGCATGGAATAGTCCACACAAATTGGCGGGCGTCAAGGTTAGAAACAAGAGGGCTTAGGTCTAAGAAAGAGTATGGCTGTGAATTGCCTGAATGATCTTGAGAATGGCCATCTCAGTTCAAAGCCGTATACAAATGTGGAACACTTCCTTTAGTAGCCGCGGGCTGCGTTGTCATCTTCAACAGGTCCGTGAAACGGCGCTGCGTGCTGTTTAAGCGGGCACGTGCCAACAGCTGCTCTAGTAGTTCCTGACATCCTGCCTTGTTTCTTACCAAATATATCCAGTCTGCTTCAGCAGGTGGCAGGTTGTTTCAGCGCCGAAATCGCCAAACTCGTCAAGTTCGAGGCTCAAAGCACGTCAAGTGAGACCTTTTGGAACCAGTTGGTATGCTCCATACCTGCTTTGACGAAGACTAACAGACCGCTTCCCTGTTCAATGGCCGGTTCAAAACAACACTGTCGCCGCCAATGGTTGTGTGGACTTTGCGCCCTGTTAAGGTGGGGCGTCCCTCCATGCTCAGTGCTTTGGGCGCCTCGTCCTGGTCCTGAGCATTCCGCATTTCACGGGCCTCAATGTCGGCGATTTGCCTCCGCACGTCTGGTCTCAAATGATATGGGACTTTTCTAGGCCTCGCTACAGCAGGTGGCGACCCGCCGGTGTTGACGCCGAGATAGGCGACGCGTGTTAGACGGAGCTCGGCGTCAGAATTCACGAACATCTCCCGATATCCGTCCAAGAGACTCGAGCTTCGTGCGACTGAACTCGCTGACTTCCGCTTCAGCCAAATCAACGTTTACCGGTCAGACCCGTTAAGGCTTGTCCCCCCCCCCCCCCCCCCTCCCACTCACTGGAGCCTTTCTCATGACTTCAGCCCTGCCAAGAACTGGCTTGATAAAAATACATTGGAATGTAGCTACGAGCACCAGGCCGAGCCAGTCAAGGGCTAACGAAAATTTCATAAAGTTATATTTCTCGAGGATCCGGAACAAATATTATTTCTCGAGAAATCGACCCAGAGACCAAGTTCGTACATAGTCCTTTCAGAAAATAGTTTCATTTCACAGACTGAAATCATATGTAGGAAGCACGAAAACTGGCTGCATTGGAGTCTTATGTACCCGCTCCTCCGGAGGTACACGCAAAACTCCGGTTTAAATCACCCTTCGCTGTAGCCAGGTTGGACGGATTAAGACAACGCCAGGACATAATTTCTCAAGACGGCTGGAGCGGATAAGTTCTCCATCGCCAGTACCTGAACGTCAGCTATTGCTGCCGAACAAATTAAAATGCTTCCTGAACCATTCAATGGCATATCAATGTCGTGCAATTGGCTGCGATTGGGTGTACAGCCGCTGGAGTGAGGTACGGAGCTAATCCCCGAAAGAGATGCCTTCACACAGGTGACCATTGTTTTGGTACCAACCAATCACGTGCTATTCAGTTCCGCAATGCCACCACTCACGTGAACCGAGTGAACCTGCGAGTTGTGTGGACCTTTGGCCTCGGGTCTGGTTACCACCGGTCCCGCGGTAGAAACTTTCCTCGGTTTAAACCCTTAAGACAGTCATATTGAGTGTGCCTCAAATTACGAGAACGTCAGCAGGCGGCGGGGCCGGTCGACCGTGGCCGTGACCCCATGGAGCCTGAGTCCACGTCATCTGCGGGTGGTCAGAAAAACTACATGCCCAGCATCTTATTTGCTGTCCCGGAAACCGGCCTGGCCGGCCCGTCCTTACTGTACTGCTGCCCCCACCCCCCGGGCACACTCCTGTGGTCCGCTCACCCATTTTACCTTGGCTGGGTCACGTGGGGGTCGCTCCACTGAGCCGATCCCAGGGCTGTGTCCCCCATGGGCAAAGTACCTGCTTGAATTGCTGCCTATGACGTCACAAGTACCTACGTCATATATTAACGACCATCCTCTAAGCCGCAGTTACTGCTGCGACGCACTTACCTTAGACGTCATAGGTTGCAACTTGCGGACGGCTGTTGGTAATGGGGAACGCGGCCTTTGCTGACCCGCCCGACTTCGAATGACGTCACACCGTCCCCGCGATGGTGCCAGGCGACCTGCCGCACGGATTCCAAACAGGGCACGAGAGAGCTCGGCTACCTCGTGTCGGAGCTAATCTACTGCTCCCCTCGCTACCGCAGGCCCATGCCGAATTTGACTGACTTGAGCTGGCGAGAGATGGGCAGCCTCTTCACCTTGTTTTGAATGCATTGGCATGTAATCAGCGTTGATGCTGGGATACAACAGGCGTAAATGCACCGCCATATCGGACGAGATGCAATCCAAGAAGGGACCACTCAAGAGAGTGGCTCCAACAGACGTGTCAGGGCCCGAACCAGGAAACACCACGAAACGAAGATACCAGATGGGAAAGAAACATACCACATGTCTCGGAGCGTTGCTTACGTCGCTGATTGAACCGGTCGCGGTGCCAGCTATGGGACGGACCGAACCCCCGACGCAGCGCTGACTTCAGGCACCGAACATCCCTTGTGTCCTCTTCTGACAGCGCATCCGTCACCGCAATCCGCGTACCGAGGTCAGAAAGCGCCTTCCCCGCCGTCATCTTCTTGTCCCCACCACCAGCCGAAAGGCATCCAGCCGTCGCAGCAAGCGTTCCAGATTTTCTCCATCATCCCGCGCCAGTTTCTCCCTCGACTCCATTTGGCGCGCCCCACTCGATGTCACCAGTGTGATATACGCGCACTGTCAACGGTATCAGTAGACTGATATCTTGGTGACCACTGAACGCGGCGGCCGGTCTGCCCGCCTCCGCCAGTTGGTCGCAAAGGCGCGCCCAGACGCTTGCAGCAGAAACGCGCTGCACGATATTGTTATTTAGATCAAATGCGTTCTCGATCTCCCCGAGTTTACACAATCAAGACATAGCAAGCAGTTTAGTACAAGACAGAGCTTCCTGCCCCGCGATTTCGTCACGTCCTCCGCAACTCCCGAACTACGCTCGTTCACAGCTCGGGATTTCCGCGAAGGCCCTATCGCCACAGGCGCACCGCATGGTTCGGACCGGCCGCAGTGGGGTCGGATGCTTCCCTCGCCCGCCAGTGTATTCTGGTGCAGGCCACGGGAATGATGACACAAACAGTCCGACCACCATATTGTCATTCCCAGTGAAGCGTAGACCGTAACTGCTCCGCCCGCTGGACCCAAACTTGAACGTGACGGCCTTGGCAGCGCTCCCAATTCTGGGGGCAGTCATAACAGCTACCCGAACGATTGGCTAACTACGCGATCATTCGGCCATTGATGGTTGACAGTGACGGAAGATCTCTGCCGTTGAAACTTAATCCCTTCGAGGTTGAGCGGACTCTAAGTTATGCCATCCCAAGAACGTGTTAAGGTACGGAGACGGAGGTTTGGAAGTTCAATTCACGAAGGACGAGGAGATTAGGAATATGCTTAGTGCCAAGGAACTTCGTTTCCGAGTTCGCAGAGGATGGGGCATACAGTCAGTGCTGATCGGGGCCAAATCGCATCCCCGGAAAGTCAGTGTTAAGTGTCATCAGCTGCTAGGATCTAAAGGAGTTGAGCAAGGGTGAATTCGTCGAAGGCATGGCAAGGTGGGGAGCTGGCGCACTCGAACGCCGTCATCCTTACCTTTTACGGATGAAGCTAGCAGAGAGAGTGCAAATTAGATTTACCCCTTTCTGGTCCGTTTCTACGTGCCCCATCGGGTATGGTGCTTTAAAGGGAATGTTGCACATTTTAAGATGTTTAAGCAAGTACCAGATATAACGAAAAAAACACTCATAACTATAGGTATGCTTTTATGTGGAAAATGCTGCTCTAGACAACACACTTTCCCCAATCAGTAAATATGCTCTCACCCACGGGTGGCGGAAGCAGAAGGTTTCTACCGAGGTTGCAGTCTGGCGCGGTCAAGATCCGATCGGCATCCTGCTGATCACGGACTGCGGGAGATGTGCCTAGCCTTCCCAATGCCCTCTGCAGCCGATCACGTTTAGATTAAGCATGCGGTTCTGTTGATCATATGCCCATATTTGTTTGATATTTTCTGCGACATGCTGAACGTGACTGTACAGGGGAACGTCCGTGGAATCCGCGCGAATGTTTTGGACTTGCAGCGCGTGTTGCATTTGAAGAAAAAAAAAACCTGTTGGCGTCCTGCATCCAAGAGAGTGAGCTAGCGAGGAAGACACCGGCTATGTTCAAAGGTTATACTTTATACCGAAAAGACGCAGTGATGGATATCATAGCCGATGGAGATGTGGCAATACCTGTGCATCACAACATTCCATCAAGACCGATATCACTACAGACAGACATGTAGGTAGTAGCTGTGGCTGTATGCCTCACCACGCACCACAGCGCTCCGTTCATTACGCGTTTCATATTGTGCAAATATATTCACATCTGTAGATATGCCCATCGTTTTAGCATCTTTGCACACGTACACACGTCAAGCATTAAAGCAACAAATGTCTTTTAGCTGTGATATTTGACATGGAAAACCCTATGGCACTACATGGAGACATAGTATGTAATTGAACTAGACGGATGCGCTGTAAGAGGGCACATGGGTGCGTTGTCGACTTTCCAGGAGCACAGCTCTTTTCGAGCTCGTATGGGCCCGACTATGCCTAGTCGATACCCACAAGGGAATGGCGTCGCACAAGGCAGCGTCCTCAGTACTGCGATTTTTGTCATGATAAATGATGATGCTGAATGTCGTTCTTCACAGGCAGGGAGATCACCTGTCGACGACGACGTCGCCATTCGGGTTAGTGTGCGGGCTAGCAGAACTTCCGAACGAAAACTGTACATTCGTATGAGAGAGCTGGGAAGATGGTGCGTGCCAAAGTGATTTCAGTTTTCTGTGGCCAAACTTATGCGTTCATTTCTGTTCGAAACTAGGTCGCTGCCCCGACCACATGTTATGTTGTGCGGGAGAGAAGTGTCGGTTAGGTCTGAAGTGAAGTATCGGGATCGTGTTTCGCAGCAAGATGACTTATTGCCCACACGTCCTCAAACAGCCTCGTGGCCGCTGTTGCAAAGCCGTACATTTTTGAAGTTTTTGCCTCGAATGTTTTATGGGGCCGACGGTCAAAGCACTTTTACTGCTTCACAAAACGTTTATTCGGATCACAGATCGACTGTACGTGTGAGGTGTATGACTCGTCCCCACAGTCCCTTAAAAAGGCACCACGCCGGAGTAAGAATAGCTACGGGGGGGGGGGGGGGGGGCGTTTCGTACGATTCCTATGCGTAGTATGTTGGTGGAGACGAGTGAACCCACTCTTTGCCTGCAAAGGAAACTGCTGTCTGCACAACACGCAGAAAAAAATTGACAATTCCAATAATCTCACGTGCCCCGGCATTTTGTGCCAACATTTTGTCAGCATTTTTACGCCTGGACACCACAGTCCGTGCCATACACACCAGCGAGTTATTCGAGCGACTCGATATCGCGGTGAACAGCATTGCCTCAGGCTCTAACCAAGGCATTCCACCATTACAATTTGCAATACCAGAGCGTGACTTCCATATGTGTGGCTCTTCCAGGAAATATGCAGTGCTGAGGGGCGTCGCGTCGAGTGTCTGTCCCCCCTTGATAACGGTGATCCAGCGTTCCGCCCGATGTAGAGCGATTGCGCGTGGTCAGACGCTAGTGCGGGATGTGGAGGGGGTGTCGGGCGCGAAGTCAGACGCAAGTGGGATGTGGAGGGGTGTCGGGCGCGAAGTCAGACGTTGGTGTGGGATGTGGAGGGGTGTCGGGCGCGAAGTCAGACGCAAGTGTGGGATGTGGAGGGGTGTCGGGCGCGAAGTCAGACGCTAGTGTGGGATATGGAGCGGTGTCGGGCGCGAAGTCAGACGCTAGTGTGGGATGTGGAGCGGTGTCGGGCGCGAAGTCAGACGCTAGTGTGGGATATGGAGGGGTGTCTGGCGCGAAGTCAGACGCTAGTGAGGGATATGGAGGGTGTCGGGCGCGGAGTCGGACGCTAGTGTGGGATGTGGAACGGTGTCTGGGAACAGGCGCCGATGTTTTACCTTGACACATCGCTCCATTTTTATCGCAGAGTTGCTCGCTATCTGTGAGTCTTTACGGCTTGCGCTTCTGCGCGGCGAGTCCATATTCGTCATCTTTACGGAATCACTGAGCCCCCTGTTGACGCTACAGCAAGCCTATCAACAGCGTACAATCGTTCAAGAAATACTGTACACATTGCTTATCATGGAGCAGGATGATAAATGTGTCGTTTTCGCCTGGGTACCTGGTCATGCTCCAGTACCCAGAAACGAGCAAGCTGATACCGTAGCCAAGCAAATCACCGCTCGGTGTTGCCGGGAAGAAGATTCTGGCATCATTCCTCAGGGTTTCATGATTACATGTATATTTGCATTGCCCCTTACATTACATACCATTACAGTGCATTGCCACAACGTTTATATTTATTTGAAACGCTCGATGACAACACATTTGGGACGAAATCGGCGATAGCATCGCTCAGGAGACCAGACAAGCTTCGCGGCCAGCAAATTCCGGCGAATGCGATTCGTTATATCTAAAGGAGAGCTGACGAAGTGATGCTGTGCTGGTTAGTCACACTGACGAGACGTACTCGTGCCTGCTCTCTGGGGAGGCTTCGACCACTCTGCCGGAAGATGCGGATCACCGCTGTCTGTGGCTCACGCGCTCGTCGAGTGTCGGAGCTGTGAGGTTTTAGCGGAGCTGGTATCTGGTGATGGATCATTTCCCAGCCTGATTTGTTAGGCGACCCGTCATCCATGGAATCCCAACCCAGCCACTAATGTCGGAGCTGTGAGGTTCAGCGGAACTGGTATCTGGCGGCGGATCATCTCCCAACCCGTTTGTTAGGCGACCCGTCGCCACGGATCCCAACCCAGCCACTAATGTCGGAGCTGTGAGGTTTAGCGGAGCTGGTGTCTGGCGGCGGGTCATCTCCCAACCTGTTTGTGAGGCGACCCGTCGCCACGGATCCCAACCCAGCCACTAATGCCGGAGCTGTGAGGTTTAGCGGAACTGGTATCTGGCGGCGGGTCATCTCCCAACCTGTTTGTTAGGCGACCCGTCGCCACGGATCCCGACCTAGCCTGTAACTACCTAACTTCGACCTGCTGCTGCTCCCAAGCTCCGCCCTACCCCCACTCTCAGTCATACTCTCGCTCAGACTAACATACCCGGACCATCGTAACCTAACGTCAACATAACCTAACACTGGCTCTAGACTTCACTCCAAACCCTGCTCCCAACTCGGGTCCGTGTCGTGACCAAGATAAGATCAGGTCTTCGTGAACATGGTCTTTGTGACGGTGCCGTCAACGGACGCCGCACCTTTCAGGATACTGTCACAGCGGGATTATCCTGATAGCGATACAGAACTGCGACGCCTGTTCGGAGCAACGAACAAGTCTTTATCTGCTTTGATTCCTGAATTATGCTGCAATGACGGGATCTCAGATGCCGTTTCGTTATGTGAGGGGATGCGTTCCCGCCGCGCCATAAGCACAGGCCACCGGCGAATCTGCAGCGCGCTGTCAGCTGACAAGCCATGACACCATGGCTGGTGAAAGGCGCGCAGCCCACTGTTTAGCTTAAGTTTTGATTTAATTGGCGCCATATTGCAACTTATTGGCACCACATCGCAACCTCCTCCCACGATTCTGGGCTTGATCCTTGGATGACGCATGCGCGAGAGAAGGACTGGGACGACTGTTTCGTGCACTTTGGTGCATTTTCCATAATATTTGTATGATTATTTCACAGGTTAGTAGGCTGTCAATAAATAATGTGGGGTATATTGGCCATTTCCAACCCTCTCCTGGCTACGCACTGGCTTCGCTGAGTGAACCCCCTTCTCCCGTTACGCTGTGTAAGCGTTATGTCTGTTTGGCCCGTAGTTGAGCTGGAGATGCGGAACAAACAAGGGGTTGTTTCCTGTTATGACGCCACTTGGCAATTTTAAGACTACTAGACTTTATCATCACGTGTATAAAGCACTGGGAACGTGTTGCGGTGCGCCGATTTCCCACATGTAGCCTTACATACGTGTCTGGACGAAGTCATATGATGACCTGGCGGTGGAAGCTGAAACCTTGACGTCAAGTGTTGAAACGCTACATCTGGCACACACACATTTCATTTGGTCCGCTGAGGGATGCACGCAGAAAACCCTAGCCGGTATGTGCTCCCCAGCATCTTGCCGGCGATTAAATTTGTTATTTTGCCCGTGCGTCACTACGTGAAGCCGGCCCTGGTCCTAGAGAAAAGCTCCACGGTTAGGTCTTGCCGCTAGGTTTGGTTCGCGTGAAGTGCCCTTTACATTTTGTAATTATTTTTGCTCTCTCCTGGTTTATTCATGGGAATACCTAAATTGCATCGGGGAATCCCTGATTTTGCCTGTACCTGACGAAGAAGTCAAATGGTGGGAAAGTTCGAGGTCAAGTCACTGGTGGATACCCATGGGATTTCCAGCACCTCGAGAGAAAGCACCAGCCACCAGCCTGACCGGGTCATCAACTGTGCTCAGATACTGAACACTTCTTTTTACTTGTTGGTGACAACTTTTGTTCCTAAATCCCATCGACCCTCGGCTGTCACCAACGGAAAACCTTTTGTGTGTTGCCGAACCTTGCGGGTCCGCTTCATCCCCCACCGATCATCTTTTCCATTCATACGTTATTTCAACACACACAAACAGGTCACCAATGAGTCAGCGTGAGCTTGCCCCCTGCCGATGCCCCGGCCGGTATGCTGTCACCATGCCCCGTCATTGTTGGGGAAAGCCCGGCTCATTCCCCGCGCCGATGTGCACCACGCTCCGCACCTCCAGCACGCACGCCCGGGGCTGACAGCTCCGATTGGAGCGTATTGCCAAGTTGGCGCTGAAAATAAGCTGTTTTATGGCTGAGATGGCGAAGAGCGACACGTGCGAGGTTTGTAGCTCAGTTTCCCGGAAAGACAGCTACTTTTTGTAAGCAAACGTTAGAAACAAAAGATGAAGATGAAATACACGATGAAAGCCCGTCATTGAAAGCCCTTCATAAATGTATACTTATGGCCTCGGACTTTTTCAAGGCATTTTCCCCCAAGGCTGGTGACTTTTGACGCTCTACCGATCCTGTTCAGCATCCAAGCTAGAGAGCCGTATTGATATACTAAATACCTAGGCCGGCCGCCAGACGGGTGCGGATCGATCCTGCGAGGGATTATGACGGTGCCGGCCTTTGTTGCCAGTTTTTTAGCGCAGTTCCTGCCTAATTTTGTCCAAAAGGCAAGGAACTGTGGTATTCCTTTGGTTAGCGTGCCGATCATGGCCCATGCTGAGTTGCAGACGTAGCCTTGGTTCGAGGCAAATCATCTCCAGGTTCTGTTCTTCGTCTATGATGTTGGATTTGATCTGGCCAGGGGGAACAGCTGGCGGTAGGCGACTACCACTGCCGTCAACAATTTGTTACAAATTCTGGCTGGTCCCAGGGGCCACTTGGCAGTGGGATTAAGTGTCGACACAATGAACTCAGCTAGTGAGTACACTGATCACAACGGTATTCGAGGTGATTTTTCACGCAAAAAATTGCACGGACACCAATTTATACATGCACGTAAGAGAATATTCCAAATCACAAGCTACGGATTTTCGGCGATGTCCATGACAGTTTTTACCCCTGTCGCCCAAAACTTGGCAGTTTAATGATATCAGATTTGTTGTGTGCTTTCGATAAAGCTGCTATTGATATTTTTTGTCGGCAATTGTTAGCAGAGTTATCCCGCCCAAGAGGCTGTGCGAAAACCGTCAGTTTGGCGATTTATCGCCGGCGCTGGCAACCCTGCGCCCGCTGTTGCCAACCGGCTGCTCTGGTATTTCAGCGCCATGCATGTGCCGTGCCTTAGGTGGAGCCAGTGGGCCGGCCGCCGACTCGCGCAGTACCCGCTCCGCGCCGCTCCGACACAGTCGCGCCACTTCGCCCGCTCGGCACCGCTCGCCATGATCAAGGTGAGCGCGCTCGCGCTCCGGCAGGCTGCCGTGGGACGCTGTTCAGTGCCTGCGGCCTCCTGTTGCCGGGGCTGCCCTCTGGGCGTGTGGGTGTTTCGTGTTGCATATTGGGGTGGCCGTACTCGTTCATGTCTGCGGTTCGGCATGCTTCGAATATCTTCTTTTCGCCGTCTATGAGCACTGTACCCTTTTCCATCGCACTCCTTGCTGATTCCTTGTCATTTGTTTTCCAAATATGCGCGTCGTAGGTGTTGTAGGATTGTGATTTGGACTTACGGTGTCTATGAACCATCTGCCGCTTTCAGTCGCGATGCATCTCGCCTTCACCTGCCTCCACCACTTACGTTTCCCTCCCAGGGTGTCTCCAAAAATACATTTTGCTTATTCGATCTGCTTCTATTGCTGCTTGATAGCCATTGGTTAGCTTGCAGGGAGACGTCCAGTTCCTGAGTGATGACATAAATCCGGCAGTTGTACCGAATTAATAACGCTGTGAATGACCACACGTTTCCCCATCCTATTTACGCTCCCTAGATTGCTAATATCAAAGTGGTCCATAATTATGTTAATGCGTCGTGATGTCCCAAGTAGATGCCTGCAGCAGTCCAACGATATTTTGCTACCTTTTTTGTTTGTTTTGCGGCTGTTAAGAGTCTGGCAATTTCAGATAGCAGCCCTTTGTACTTATTTGTGGCTGGTTCTCCTATAAAAGGAGCCGTTACCATTTTTGTCTGCTGCTTTTTAATGTTGATCGTGCCGAGGGCAAATGTCTCCTATCTGTTCCGACTCTCAGAAGTCCGTGACTTAACTCAGGTGACCTGACCTGACCTTATTCCAATCAATGACGCGACATCCGGCGCGCCATCGGCCACCGTCCCCCATTGACCCCTGCCGACCCAACCGTTTCAACATCTCACCAATCTTGCGTGACCTCTAGCGACGCCCCCGTGACCCCGACCCGTGGCCTGCCTCTCCCTGCCGTGACCCGACGCCTGGGCGACAGGTCGGAGACAAGCTGCCGGCGGCCACCCTCTTCGAGGGATCGCCGGCCAACAGCGTCAACACGGCCGACCTTTGCAAAGGCAAGACGGTCATCCTGTTCGGAGTGCCCGGCGCCTTCACGCCCGCCTGCTCCCAGGTCTGTCCGCTGGACACGCGAGGGTCAGCGTGGCATGAAGCCCCGCACAGGGTCGGACGCGGCTGTGGTGATCTCAACTAGTCGGCTTTGGGAGTTACCTGTTGGTTATATAAGTATCGATTCTATTTTGGTTATTATGCTATTATATGTCGTGGAATATTTACCTCCAGAGATGTTGTAGATGTGTAGCTTCATTGAGTGCTTAGGATTAGAGTATTTTACAACTTGGGTGCCGCGCTTATCCGTGCACTGAACGGCAAAGGAAGCTGGAGCACCGTTGCAAAGTCCGCGCTAACCATGGCGTCGCAGCTCGCTCCTCAAAACGGGCGAAACAGCTTGAGGCGCGAATGATCGTGCCCACGCCTGGACGGGACGGGAGTGGTGACCACACATCACCCGACTGCGCCGAGCCAGAACAGCTACGCTGGCGGTTAACGCGGCTGTGGCTGGTGGCCAGTTTTTCACCGTTGCGCGGTGAGCTGCTGTTGGGCTCGCCACCGCGCGCGCGGTCCCGGCGCCGATCCCGCTGGCGAGGCATGTTGGAGTGTGGCGGGCGCGGGAGGACGTCACGTCACGGTTCCGGTTCGCCCCGGCGCGGGCTGAGCTCATGCGGCCAGGCTTTCCCGCGGTTTTGCCCGGCTCGCGCAATCCGACGGCGGAACTTGGCCGCCACGCACTGGGCCGATCAGCTCCGGCGGGAGTCCCCGGACGGATCGGCGGCGACCTGAAGCCATCCGACCTGATGCAACCCGTGATGCAACCATCCGACCTGATGACCATCCAACCGTCCGCCGCCGACCCTGATTCGGGCTACGCTCAGAACAGAGTTCGTTCGCGCACCGTCAGCGCCGTCTCGTGCCGCCCTCTGCTGGCGGTCCTCGAGCCGCTCCTGTGCGATCTAATGGCCCTCGGGTGTGGCTGCCCAGACGGGAGCGAGCCCCAGGCCGTCTGTCAGGGGTGACTGCCCAGACGGGAGCGAGCCCCAGGCCGTCTGCCTCAGGGGTGACTGCCCAGACGGGAGCGAGCCCCAGGTCGTCTGCCTCAGGGGTGCCGCCCAGACGGGAGCGAGCCCCAGGCCGTCTGCCTCGGGTGGAGCTGCCCAGACGGGAGCGAGCCCCGGCCGTCTGCCTCAGGGGTGCTGCCCAGACGGGAGCGAGCCCCGGTCGTTGCCTCAGGGGTGACGCCCAGACGGGAGCGAGCCCGACGGACCCAAGCTCGGCCGTCGGGCGCATGTGCAGCGAAACGATTATTCCGGCTGGCGGGACGTGAATCGGGAGACGTAGATCCTGCAGCCAGCTCGTGCGGACGTGATTGAAGGTCACCTCCGGAGCGGCTGCTGCTGCTGGGGTCGTCTGGGAGCAAGGGCCATTCGTTGCAGCGGTGTACACTTCCCGTGAGCCCACATAGGAGGCCGGGATGCTATCAGGGTCTTGTTTGTTTATGTGACGCTGGCTTTCTTCGAAGGTCACTGCAAACGACTGACCTTGTTGGAGCTGGCATGGGGCTCATTAGCTTACATTAGCGAAATAGTGGACATCATTTGAGGTGTTGCTTTGCGCTGTGATGCATTTATCATGACAGTTGGAGTTTTATGTGATCATTTGGTGCAAACATGTGCTTGCATCGTTAGGAATAAGTAGCTTAGGCGTTGCACAAGTCACTTCCTTTTGTCGTCTGACCCCGCTAAATGATGGATATTTTTAGGGCGCAATTAGCATTCTAATTATCACCACATGAGGCATTGTTCACGTTTCTCAGGAATCACAAATGGATATGTTGTAGGCATCTCATACTCTTTCATGCATCGCTCCTGGGGAATACAATATGGCAAACATGCAGCGGACGTAAAAGAGTGCGAAAATCGTTAGCTGTCATGGAGCGAACACTGACTGTCTGGCACCGACTCTGCTGTCAAAGTTAAGCACATCCCTTCTACGAGTTTCATTCGTCTCACCTAAAGAAAAGTATGCCACTCTCCTGTCCCCCGTGTTCTCTCTGCGTCCTGCCCGCGTCCCGCCTGCTCCTCATCCAAGGATCCCTGGCGGGGGCCTCGCCAACTCGCCTCATCAAGCCGACCTTGAGTGCCGATCTCCCTTTCCGCAGTGGCGTCGGACGGCCTCCGCGCGGCGGCGGCTTCCGATCCCGCTGTTTGCCCGTCTGGCGCCGTGTTTGCGGCCGGTTCTGCCGCCGGCGCCGTCCCTGAACGCGACGCTCTCCGGCGCCGGCAGCAGCGCTGTGACGTGGCGTCTGTGCCATTTCCGTCCTCCCCCCCCCCCCCCTGCAGCGGGGAGGTCCCCACCGCCCCTGGTCGGCTGCAGGCGCGGCCGCGACCGTCCGGCGTGATAGCGGCAGCTGCAGGAAAGGAGCGGGGGGGGGATTCAGGCAACGATGTGACTGGTTGGACCGGTGCAGTAGTGTTGACGGACTTTCAGTATACAGTGCGCGCTTTCTGGACATTTATTGTACCGGCGTATAGGACGGGAGTGGACATGTTGCTGTAAATGCCTGTTGGGAAGGTCTAATGCAGTATGTTTAACCTTAACATGTGCTCAGCCATTAGGACTCGTTTCAGTTGCGCCAGCGTAGTATATACCGTATGATCTTAACACATAGTTCACTACTGCGTTCCACCACGTGGCGGTTGTGTGGCGGTCTACCGACCCTCGCAGCGGAGGGTCGTATTCCGGATGGCATAGCCTACCGACGCCTGGCATCTGACATGCCCCAGCCATCGCCCCC